TTTTTTTTATTGGTCTTATGGAGTATTCTAATTTGTTGAGATAGTGAGTTGGTGGGTTTTTGTTAAATGTGAGCCAAAATCATCACAATTAAAAGAACCAACGACTTAAACTACTTCAGTCTGTGTGCATTGTATTTATTTAATACACGAGTTTCACAATTTGAGTTGAATTACTGAAATAAATGAACTTTTCCACGACATTCTAATTTATTGAGATGCACCTGTATTAACCAAACTACATATATGCCCTCGCAGGCATCGGTTCCAACCCTTCTGGGTTCCCTCTACCAGGATCCGGCCCTGCTCCTGCAGCGGGACCTTCCTCTGACAATCCCCTCACCATCCCTGTGCAGGTCTCCCTCTCCGTCAGCGGACAAAGTGAGGGGCCGTCTGCTGCACACAGACCCAGCACTCTTGCAGACATCGCCCAGGCCTTGGCAGCCAGCAGCCCTGCAGCACCAGGTATGGAACTTCAAGAACACATCCCTGAAATGACCACCTGTGTATATGGAAAATGTTTGAAATGACCTGTAATTCAGTATTACAAAAATAATCATTTATCTAACCATATAAAATATACTGTCAATCTTTCATGTTATATACATCTGTTGTTCAGTCGATTCATTAAAATACACTACTGGTCAAAAGTTTGCAATAATTGAGTTTTTTTTACTGTTTTAGAAAGAAATATCTTTCGCTCAGCATGCATTTATTGGGTTAAAATACTGTAAAACAGCAATATTGTGACATATTACAATATAAATAAACTTTTAATTATAAATGTTAAAATGTAATTTATTCCTGTGATGGCAAAGGTAGATTTACACAAGGTGGTGCACAATTATTTTTTATTATTGGTGCTCAATTATTAATAATGGTTCGTATTATTATCAGTGTTTTTAATATCGATAAAAATGTTTTTACTGCTTAACAATTTTGTGAAAACCGTGAAAAAAAATGTTCAGGATCATTTTATGAATAGAAAGATAAAAAAACAGCATATATTTGAAATAAAAAAATCTTTTTTAACATTATAAATCTTTTACCGTCACTTCTGATCAGTTTAATAATAAACAAGATTTTTTTTCTTTTTAAAGGGGTCATATGATGCGATTTCATTTTTTCCTTTCTCTTTAGAGTGTTACAAGCTCTTGGTGCATAAAGAAGATCTGTAAAGTTGCAAAGAAAGTCTCAAATCCAAAGAGATATTCTTTATAAAAGTTAAGAGTTAGCCACACGAAGCGTTTCAAAAAGGCGGGGCATAGAGGAGAAACAATAATGTACAGTATGTGGAAAATAATGTTTTTTTTTTACTTTAAACCGCATAAACACATTTCATTACACCAAATACACAAAATAATGTTCTTTTTAGCAGCATCATATGACCCCTTTAATCGTATTTACCCCACACTTTTGGATAGTGGTGTATCACTAAAAAATATTAAGCAGCAAAAACATTTTTGCAACATTGATAATAGTAAGAGATGATTCTTGATCACAAATCAGCATATTAATGATTTCTGAACGATCATGTGACACTAAAGACTGTATTAATGGCTGCTGAAAATTCATCCTTGCCATCACAGGAATAAATTACATTTTAAATTGTATTTAAATAGCAAACAGTTCTTTTAAATTGTAATATTGCTGTTTTTAATGTATTTTGATCAAATAAATGCAAGGCTGATCACAAGAGACTTCTTTCAAAAACATTATCTTGATTATTCTTTTAACTTTTGACCAGAAGTGTAAATTCAATCTGAATATATTTGAACTATTTATTTCTGTTTGTTTTTTTTAAGATGCCAACTCGAACCCTGATCTCTGCAGTGGCCTTGCCATTGATGGAATGGCAACTCTCTCCAACAACTCCATCATAGTTTTCAGAGGTACATCTTCTGTATAGATGTACTGTTGCATATAGTGCTTTTTTTCCCCCAATATCACTAATTAAGAAAAGTGCTATCCATCTCAGGTCACTTTTTTTGGCTGCTGAACCCCAAGACCAGAAGAGCCGGTCCTGCTCGTAGAATCACTGAAGAACTGGGCATCCCGTCTCCCATCGACACGGCCTTCACACGCTGCAACTGCCAGGGCAAGACCTACATCATCAAGGTACTGAAGAACATAGAAAACCATGTGTTTGCAACCCTTGAAAATTCACTGAATTGTCCATTTTCTCTCACTAAGGGTGACAACTACTGGAGTTTGGAGAACGGTGTTGTGGAACCTGGATATCCCAGATCTGTGTCCCAGGACTTTGGTGGGCTCACCGGTGAGATCACAGCTGCTCTGCCAATCCCAGCCACCAGAAAGAGACCCGAGTCTGTGTACTTCTTCAAGAAAGGTGCTGACTGGAGCCCTCTGTATCCTATGTTTGGTTCGAATAATTAGAAATGACCAACATGAGAAAATTCATAATTTGTGTTTTCTAATCAGGAGGCAGAGCTCAGAAATTAACTTTTCCTCCTGGAAGTGCACCAACTTGCAGTGGAAGGAGATCCAAAAATTCAGACAAAGTTCCAAAAAATGGCAAAGCAGGTAATCTGAATTGTTTTTATGCTAAATTGAGGTACTCGAAGAAAACGCTTGTAATGCATTGAAAAGAGTATTTCAAATTATAGCAATTATATAATTTTAGTATTATTTAAATGTGTCCCTGGATCACAAAACCAGTCATAAAAAGCACGGGTATATTTGTAGCAATAACCAATAATACATGGTTTGGGTCAAAATTATCGATTTTTCTTTTATGCCAAAAATCATTAGGATATCAAGTAAAGATCATATTCCATGAAGATATTTTGTAAATTTCCCACCATAAATATATCAAAACTTAATTTTTGATTAGTAATATGCATTGCTAAGAACTTAAGTTGGACAACTTTAAAGGCGATTTTCTCAATATTTTGATTATTTTGCACCCTCAGATT